GTGAATTTCCCTTATTGAGATTATGATCTTTTGTCCGAGATGTGAATTCAAGTTCACCGAAACGCTGATAATGCCTGTTGGCGCCGCTCTCGAATATAGGGAAAGGACCGGGGCTAGATGTCCCATATCTCAGAATTTCAAAGTTATAAAGTTGTCTTCTTAGACAACTAATTGTTGTGATTGATCGTACAAATATGATAGAGACAGCCTTCTTGTATGTATTCTATACTTAATTTTGTTAACTGCATATTTTGTTTTGCAATAACCAAAATATAAAAACATGTAGCAACGTGGCCATCTTGCCTAGGTATTGCAGCTAGGATTCAGTTGTCGCATAGTGCGAGGCAAGAGGGTCATATGTAAAATATGCATCCTGCTTAGTAGTTCTCCGCAAGAGTTCTCCACAGCTCTCCTGTCGGCCCTTAATTATGGGCCAACTTTACCTCGTCCGCTCATATGCTCGATTTCAATCATTTTATGAACGAAATTGCTTTTATTATCCGAAACACTACCATACACTTCCAAGAAACTTCATTAGCTAATAATACGTCGCTTAATTTTATTCATTCACGATGGAGAATATTAATATAAAATTTCTCTCTTCCAAGAGGCTGGGAAATTTACTTTGCGCTACTACTAAATCAGTTTTTTTTTTCTAATTTTTTACTATAACATTATTCCGATTTTAATTGAAACTCGACGAAAAGTATCAATGTCCTACAGGGACCATTTCGCAATTTTATATCCACTGTTCCTCTCAAGATAGATATTAAAAGAAGCAACATACTACCTTAGTACTATCTAGACTCAATCTCCTTTATACATCGATCCTCTCATGCGAATTCTACGTTTTACAGGTCCTCGCGGATTCTCAAACTTTTACTTCCACCTATCTTTAGCGTATCATATAGAAACCTTTTATTCGACCTCCGACTAGAATTGTTGCTTTCAGTCCATGTGTCTTCAGTCCCGCAAAAGAGCATTATGAACATTATGATCGCGGACAAAACTAATCTTTTGTCGATTTTATGAATCGATTAGTTCTCGAGAAATACCGCTGACTGTCGATCACGCCGATCAAATGTCATTGGCAAGTGCTCGATTTCATCTCGCTCGCGCCGGCGATGCAAAGGGAAAGGTAAAAGGAACAGGCGGGAGAAAAAATGGAGAAATGCAAATGCGCCGTACGAGAGGAGAAATATTTACATGGTCGACGCGAAAATGCTAATGCAGTCACTTCGATAGCGAGCTAACTCATGTTTACCGGAGCCACGGATCGCTCGGCCGCCGTATTGCCGGCGAGCAAACTCACCGGAAGTTATGCGTTTCCCACCGAAGTTACGTATAGGCGGGCGGGCGGACGCACTTGCATGTGCGGCTGCGGATCGCTGAAAATGCGAGTCGTATCTTCGCGGGAAAAATCGAAATGTTTTATCGATCGACAGACCGCGCCGCCGGCTAGAAGCGGCTGATGTACATTTATGCGGCCACGCGCGCGCGCCACCGAGTTTCACGAACTTCTCGAATGATATATTCCGAATTTCGCGAGGCAACGTCGGCCCCTTCCTGCCCCGCCAGCCCCGGTATTCGCGGTAACTTTTCGTAATAGTCCCTTCACACTTCCTTACGGCAGCGGCATGTAAAATGTGAACCATTTATTCGTATCGTGCCTTTTGTTTTACCACCACATCCTTTCTCTCACCTCGCGTATCTTGGTGTCGAGAGGTACACCACGGCATGGGACGTGCACGTGAAAAACGGTTACTTTGTCGTCTTCCTCCGTCGTCCTCCAAAACGCGAATCGTCCCTGGGAAATTTTTAGAGAAAGTAGACGCTGCGAAATCTTAGTTTCGATTCTGATCGTTTTTATTTGTTTTTGAGAACTAGGCTTGTTTTCAATTTAATTTCCAGTCGGTTTGATTTCGCTTTAGTGCAGCTTTCTACTTTGCCGGGTTTTGACAAAGTTTTGCAACGTAACAAAAGTCTCGTGATTTGAAAATTAAAAACTTTCATGACCTGAGACTTTGTCCCGTCGTTCCTATAAAAGAACCTAGTTTAAAACGCTGAAGTCTTCTTCTCGCCAATAATGGTCAAAGACCAAGGAGATGCTAAAGTCACTGAAAATTGCAGAAAAATTATTAAATCGCGACGTCACGATTATCGAAATTCTGCCCTCGAATGTGTCGCCAATTAGAACACTCGACGATATGTTATTTCCTCGTGCGCGGTCCATTGCGGAAGAGATTTAACGTGAATCGGTCAGGTTTACAGCGCGGCAGAAATTCGCATAGCAATATCGATATTTCCAGCATTGTCCGAAGCCTGTGTTTATTTATTACAAGGAGCCTGATAACTCCCGGCACGAGCGGCAGGATCGCGCGACGCGTATCGATATTTATCGTCGCGCTGCGCGAACATTGTTTGTCGCTTCGACTTCGCATAAGTCATGGGCGATACCGCCATTGGCGGATTTATCATTCGAGTTATGTGTCATTGTCCCGCGGTGAGACAGTCGAGTCGACGACATAATGCCGCGGTACTACGATAATAATGAAGGGCGTATAGGCGCAGCATTGTAACCCCATCACATACGGGGTGATCTGCGGCGAACCTTCACAGTCGCGAATTTTTCTCGTGGATCCAGAGACAGATTCTTCCGATATTGCTTCTCGTTTTCTGCTTCCTCGATCATTGCTTTCTCGCTTATCGACATTAAGCGTCACCATAATCTTACACGTTAGATTTTTGCCGGAAAAACGGCCCGTGCCCCTCCCTCCGCGCCTGTCGATTAATTTGGTCAAAGCTTTTAATTTCCCAACGTTTGCTACCTTTGAATTTCTTCTTTCCAGGACGATTGCCTTCCTTCTCACTTTAGAAATGTTCCCAAAGTCGGCTGGAAAGTCGCATGATAAGTTCGAGCCACCCTATGTGCAATCCAATATACATATAGATATGTATATATACGTGTACTACAGGATTGCCGAGCCTGTAATTTGACCTGCAATCCGTTCGCTGTCTACCATTTGCTTTTGTAAAGCCAGTCGTGAATCAAGCCGCGCCAGGTATACGGATAGTGATAGGCTGCGAGCGGTAACGACTCTTCCTCTCTCTCTCTGTCTCATTTTTGAGCAGGTCGATCGCATGTAATAAACAGAACGACAATTTTAAGTTAGTCGGGTCGGAAATCGAGACTATAAAAGATCGATGCCCCGCTTAGTTAACAGATCTCTCATCCGAGATATACATTCGAGATTCGCACAGTCTGCGAAATAATTCAACTTTTCTCACGAAGCATTACGAGCATGACGAACTTCTCGCTCGAGAAATAAGAATTGAAAGATTTGAAACGACTCGCATGTACGGATACACGCGCATCTCGGTAAATTAGGAAGTCGGGAAATGGAAAAACAGACAGTGCGGAGAAGAGCACTTAGAATTCTTGAAAATCCAAAGATGCAACATCTCATGGGCCAACCCAAGAGTCCCGTAGCGGAAAACGCGAAAGACCGTAGCAGAAGATCACGCATTACTCGAAAACGTCCGTTGATCTCACAAATTCCAATCACAGGGGAGGTGGGAAGGAGTCCGCCGGCGTTATGATAAATCCGAGCCGTCCTCGTGCTCGACAAATCCCATAGGATGCTCATAGCGTCCCATCGACTCAGCCGGGGAGCGGCTGCTTTCAAAACAAAAATATACAAAACCCATCAGAGACGAGGGACGCGCTCGACGAAATCTCGCGGAATAGAATGCGCCTGTGTACGTGTGTGTTTGCTGATCCGGAGCACTCGAGCATGACCGTGAGGAGAGAGAGAGAGGGAGAGAGAAAACGAGAGAGAGGACGGGAGAGCTCGGTAGCGCGACAAAAGGAACGACAGCTTAAGCCACGAGGTCGGAGCCTCAGGAAGGAATCTATGTCTCCGGACACAAATAGTTGTGACAGATGCCGGGTTATGTAAACAGGCCTCGATGATACCGAGCATTGTGTCACCGCGATCCGGCCGGGGGAAGGATACACTTGGTCGACCATTTAAGTGACTACAATAGCCAGGATTTGCGAAATAAGCGGGAGCATAAGCGCGTCTTCTCGTCGGGCACGATTGTCGCCTCGCGGCGTCTCGAACGGTTCCCCCGCTGCAACTGTCGTGACGTTCAAATATACCGAATCGTTAATTAAATATTTGTAGAATACGTAATGGACGCGGCACACGATTGCATTTGCAAAAGATTGAAATTCTCTTTGGAGCCTCGCGAAGGTTGCGTAGCCGAAGTTCTGGATCGTTTCGGCGAGAAATCGTGGAAGAAAGAGTATTTCGAAATATTCCCGAAATTTCCCCGAGAAAGTGTTATCATTTCATCATTTGATGATTCAATGATTCGTTTATATTTGTTATTTTTTAGAATAAAATTCTAAAATTCTCGTTTATTACGTCGCGCTCTGCATTGAGAGAAATCACTCGATAAAAAATTAACAAACGGATATTTCCGATCAAAATACTGATGAATTTTTGTATCCGATCAGGAAACATTTGATGAGAAGTATTAGTTCATAATTTTTTGACCAATTTATCTGATGCTATTATGATCGGAAGTATTCGATTTAATCGGATATTCTGATCGGATATAAAAATTGATCGGAATTTGATCGGAAATATCCCTGAGTCGAAATTTTGTACCTATGTTGAACCTTGAATTCTACACCGCAGTAGGAGCTAAGATAGCAAAGTAGGTTTAATTTTAATGATATAATTTACTTCTACTTTGACTCTGATAATGTCTGAAATTTCTGCTTTTACCTTTTTTTAGCGTCAAAATAGCTTGTGTAATAATAGAATTTTAGGAAGTAAAATAGGTTTAGTTGCGAACTTCTACTGAAGCTTTAGTTTCTACATAGAATATATATATTTTATAGAATTCAAGGTTCTCTCAACATAGAGTCAAAATTTTAACTTGGAAATAAGTGTCAATATCGTCAAAATAGGTTTCATTCAGGTTGTAAATTATCTAAGTAGGCTCAAGCTATTTTTAAGAGCGTCAAAGTAGCGTCAAAATTTTGACAAAGTAGAGTTAAAGGTTCAAAAGAGAAGTTAATGGGTATCAATATGGTCAAAGTAGGTTTTACCTAAGCTATAAATTGTCTAAGTAGGCATAAACTATCCTTAAGAGTGTCAAAGTAGCATCAAAATTTCGACTCGGATCCGTTTGTTAATTTTTTATCGGATAATTTCTCTCAGTGTGGTCTTTAAAAAACATCGACGCTTTTGGATAAGACTTCACGTATATGAAGCAAAATAAATAATCTAATTCAATTCTTCAGACACACGTTCGATCGATTCGCGTTTCGCGAGTACTCTCGTCAACCGCGCCATGTGTAATTCCAACTCTGAATTTCAACGGGCCGTGTAATCTCCAAGGCTGTCCCAACTGTCTACTTCGAAATATCCACCCCAGCCCGTGGGCTTCACTTTCGCCTTCCGGAGACACTTCCATTCGAACCTGCGCGTCCTCGAACGTGCGTGCAGGCTTCAATCCTCTTCCATCTTTCGTCTCTTCCGCTTGAACGATTTAGAGTCGCGACGCTCACGGTAGAGTGGCTTTGTGTGACAATCGCTACCGACTCGCTCGATCTCTCCCGAATATTTCAGCCGCAGTCGTCCCCGTCGGCTGTACAGAACACAGCGAGGGGATTTTGACTGTCCTGCTACAGAAGGATTCGGTCTTGCTCTCGTGTTTCGCCGACACGGTTCTGTTTCGCGACTCTTTTTCCCGTCCATGCTTGCCTCCGCGAATTCGTGATGCCGTCGCGACACGCTCCTCAAGCTAAACAATAATGCACAAATTTTTATTGCATAATTCGGGTGTAAGGGTGTTGGAAAGAGAAATTTGAAGATATCACTTGTATATAACTGTGTACAATACTGTGAATCGCTGAACATATTATTTATTAAAATTATCTGCAAATTTATTCATAGACGAAATATTCATATATATTGCGCGCAGTAGTGTTAAAACAATATACGAATATCATATTAAACAATATAATATTTCACATATAATACATATCTTACATATTCATTTTACGAAATATGTAAGATAATATATTATGATAAAATGAAATAAACGTTATAATATAATGCATTAAATAGTATTATATTCTAATGTAATTAATGTAACAAAATATTTAGGATATACGAAAAGGTGCTTGCTTAGGTCGGTTTGCTTGAATTATTTAAGTCTTTAAACCAAATAAGTGTTACGAAAAAATATTTGATCAGTGTCAAAATCCCTGTATGGCTTACAAGAAACAAAATAATTTTCGACTTTAAGAACATGTTTTACAAATGTGTACTCAGAACATTTTTTATCTTAATCCCTGTCTTAGTAGGCTTTAAGTCGCGATATAGCGGTTAAAAGCACAATTTCGAATCTATATTGCTCTCGTAGATTTCAACCATGACTCTTCATGACTAAGTTCTGCTTGAAATCCTACGGTAGCATTTAGTCGTCTATAATTACTGTTTCGTGTGCCATAACGGTAATACGTTCTGAATGAAACATGATGTAACTGCCACGCGAAATACATCAAAATTATTCGCGAGCTTCAATGTATTATTCATGAGTCGAATCTGTCTTGTATATTGTTTACAAAAATGTAAATAGAAAAAAAGAGATATACAGTCATATATAAGAGCTTGAATTGTTTAAATCATTTAAGTTCTTGTAAACAATTAAATATGCATTACGATACGCTACCAGACCATTGTTGAAGTCCCTATATGGCCTATAAGAAAAGAACTTGTTTTTCATTTCAAGAAAAGGTTTTACCGATGTACCGAGGACTTCTTGTATCTTAATTATGTCCTCTTGTATCTTATACGGATTTTTAGCGGTTAAAAGTAATGGACAATTCTGCATCTGCATTGCTCTTATAGATTTCGACCATGTTCCCACGGCACTAAATTCTGCTTGAAATCCTACGATTACATTTGGTCGTCTATAATTAGTTTTAGTAACATAATCGTAATACAACATAGGGAAAGATTGAAGAATGAGCTCCTTCCTTCCAATTTTGCAACGGGAGCAAGTGTGGTGTCTAATAGTTTCGGTGTATAATTCTGGTCCTATCATTGTAATTATTAGTTTCCTTGTCTTATTTAAGAGATGTAAGAAAAGCTCCCAAGCTGGAAAATGGCGTCTGTCCACATAGTTTGCGGCTACAACATGAATATTAAAAGTATCCGCTTTCGTTTCAGAATGGATTAAACTCGCAGTTTGCAACCCTTGGTGTAGAGTCAATGGATCTGATACATAATCCGTAAAGATGTGGTCATAAAGACACCAATTGTCTTGTACATGAGGTGGAAAATATTTATTACAAAATGAGGTCATGTTAGTTGAAGATATCTTTTTACTGGGAAATGCACCGAATTTAATTACACTGTGTACTGTTTTCCATACAGAAGGATTGAGACTTTTGACATCTAATTTGAGAGTTAATGCTAGCATATCACAAAATACTGAATTGTGAACATCCGCAAATATCAGTGGTACGTGATTAGCGCAGTAACTGAACGACATGCATCTTTCACACGTGTGTAAATAACTCCGTTGATGACATATATAACATGTTTTTGCATATATGAACATTTGCTCTTCGTATGGCTTCATTTTGCGTCCCAGTGTCATCTGGATCATTCGCAGAAAATTTTCCTGTGATTTTATCCAATCATTGTGCCACAAAGGGCGAGTATTCCACTCCGGGTCCTCATCTATGAACTTTGCTATGAGTGAACACACTTCCTTATGGTGAGGTTGGTGTATTCTTCTGTGCTCTTCAGTACAATAGGCGATCATGTTACACCGAGGACATAACGTCAATTTCCTTTGGTTTGTTGATTTGCAAACGTGACAAACGCTTGGATGGAAAAATAGATTGTAATCAAAGTGCTTTTTTTGTCGACGATATTTTTTTGCTTCATAGTTTTTAGCCATGTCTATACGTCTATATGTAGTACAAATATTCCTAATACCAATTTGGAAATATTACGCGAAACTCGGCGAATGTCGGCGTATTCTGTACCGGTTGTACATGTGTTGACTCGGCGGTTGTATAGAGGACACTAATAAAGTGTTTACACCTGTTTCTCTCTCCGCATGCCTCAGGAATTGTTGACAGACAGATGAAGGTAGTTTGATTTCTACCTAGGGACATGAGCTACGAATATTTCAGTTAGAACAATATTCAAATAATGCAAGTAAAATTTAAACATACGTAGCGCGGAAGGTATACGATATTGTATCGTCCGTCAGACTGAAAAGTAACTCAACTCGAAAAATCTAATTTTTCCGAGCAGTAAAAAAGGACCTCGATAAAGCTAATCATGAATATATCGATTATAGATTAGGCCGATACTGTTTTTCGTATTCTCTTAATTAAAAAACGGCCTTAAATTAAATTTGTTAAGCTCAATTATTAATTAAATGATCTCTAATTCCCTTCGCTCATATCAACCGTCAATTGAACGATATTTAATTGAATTCGTTGAAAGCAACCGTCAGTCGAACGGTCTTTGATTGAATCTGTTGGAATCAATTGCCAATTAAACGTCTCCAACTAAATTAGCTCATATTAATCGTCAACTAAAAATGCAACAATTATTTAAAAAAATAATTAATAACCCTGATTCACAGTACTAAAAAGTATAAATAAAGGCGCAATACTCTTCGTTCTCCATATAGTACTATATTCAATGTCATGTAGCATTCATAGAATGCTTAATCAGTGTCAGGCGACGAGCCCCCCGCAGACCCTTCTCGAGCATAATGACTAGCGTTCGGGTAGCATCCGAAAATTAGTGTGCTTTTCGTAAGGCGCGATATCCTGTACGCAATCTGTTCGGGTTAAAGGGCCGCGGCGAGAGTCGCTGCGGGCGGTACACGCGGTAATGTATCCTTTTACGTCCCGGCACGACCACGTGTTCTCGAAGAGATCGGGAATGCCATTGTGAGCCGGACTCACCCACTCTACGATCTCCTTTCTCTTTTCCTCTCTTCTCTTTTCTCTCCCCTTCCTCCTTACCAGGCCACAATGCGCGATTCACGTAACACCGGTATTCGTAGTCAAACGCGCTCGCCGCATCGGCGAGCATCGCGGTTTCCCGCGGTTTCTCTCGATGCATTCGCGAGTCACGATGCATTCGCATATAACCCCTTCGGAAGCTTCCTCCGTCTTCCTCCGTCCTTCTACCCCTCCCACCGTCTGGCCCCACGTTGTTCTGCCCTTTTGCCGTTCTAACACCTGCGAGAATTCGCACGGTAGGTGGCTTCTACACGCGCGCGTGCATCGTACATACACGCCGACAACCGTTGCATATATCGCGGCACACTGACGACTGCATCGCAGTTGCATACATCAGGCTGGTCCAGTCAGGGCGAGGGTCGAGTTCAGGCTGGTTCAGGCCGTTGGTACCTACATGCATATTACAACGTCGTGCGCGCGACTGGGCGACCGTGCTGGGGCGGACGCGATGCATCGGGTGTCGTGATTTATCTCGGCGCTCGAATGTCCGCCGAAATGACGCTCTTTCTCTCTCCGCGGCGGTTTGTATGTAGTATTTGAAAAAAAAAACAAAAAAAAAAAGACGCCGGTCATCGTCGCGCGCGCCCGTTTTTATTTCGCTCGTTTTATGAATAATGGATGACGGCAGCGGCGGCCCGCGAGCGCACAATCTTCTTTGTGTGTTAATGTGACTGTAATTCTACGCGGCGGCATGCCAATGAGTATTCGCGACGTTTCTGTGATTCACGATATGTTCTCTGAATCGAGTTCGCGAAGATTGAAATCTATAATAGGTGCGATTCTTCGCTCCTTCTGCGCGTTATTAAACATTGCAATTTTTCAATTACGACTGTCGAATTGTTCTTATTATTGTCTTATATATACTTGTGATTATCTTCTTAATATTTGGAATTTCCAGTTGTTGTTACTTCGTATCTTTTTGTATATTGTTATCTCTATAAGTGGTTTACAATACGTATTTTTTAATCTATTTTGCAAATCTCACGTTGTTTTTCTATTTGCATGTATCGTTTCACATGCTTCATTATTTTATGTTCTTTGTATACATTAACATCGTATAAATAACGTAAAAAGATTCAGTAATACAAAAAAGTCGAATTAAAATTATAATTTAATATAATTTTGATATATGAAAAGAAATTAAATACAGTTCTGTTATCACATTAAGATTTAAGAAAAAAAAAAATTTCCTCGACGTGGAATCGAACCACGGTCTCCCATGTTAAACAAACCGGGTGTACTTGCCATTGTACTATCGAGGATATTTTTGTAGAGAGCCTTTAGTTTGTAGTATATTTGGAGCTTGCTTTGTATACTCTGCTCTGTATTAATGATTTATGATACATTTTTTTATAATCACTATTTTGCAAATCTCATGTCATGCTATTTTTTTCTTCGTTTGTATCGTTTCACATGCTTTACTATTTAATTCTATGCTTTATGTGCATTAATAGCATATACATAACGTAGAAAGATTCAGTAACTAGTGATACAAAAAAGTCGAGATTTATAATTTTGACATATTAAAAGAAATTAAGTACAGTTTTTTATTATATTAAGGTTTTCTAAAAAAAAAAATTTCCTCGACGTGGAATCGAACCACGGTCTCCCATGTTAAATCAACCGGGTGTACTTGCCATTGTACTATCGAGGATGTTTCTGTATGGCGTCTAAATTTGTGGTATACTTGGAGCTTGCTTGGTATACATTTAGTGCTCAGAAGGACATTATTTCAAAACATGAATAGATATTGTCGTGATAATATATATAATAAAGGTAAAAAATCATAATTGCGTTATTTTCGATTTGAATATTTGCGATATTGCAATTTTATCGGTAAGAAATGTATCATTTAAAATCAACAATGAAGAGAGTGAATATTAATGTAATAAAATCAATAGACAGTTATCAGTATGTTAAATAAATTATTGCTGTAATATTGACATGATATTTCTGTAATTAAAAACTGTTGATACAGTGTCCTATCCATTACTGACAAAATACGACTGTTTTATATGAGCAAAATAAAAGACAATTATTTTTATTATATTTATCCTATATGTGCATTTTATATACATATGTATAAAGTATTTCATAAATTATGTTCTTTTCCCCGTGAGTAAAAAATGACAATAAGTAGCTTCTACTGAATTTTTTATTCGAATTTTTTAAATAATACTTAATCGAGATAGATTTGAAACTGTAAAATTTTCTTTCACCTTTTATTTATGCAAAATATTCATTTTTGCAATGCAATGATTATATAATTTTACATATATAGAAAAATAAACAGATTTAGCGATTGTTCTCGGCTGTAGAATTGCTTTATGCCATTTTAGCGAATATTTTTCGTAATTTTCGCGAAAGATCACGAGCATCTCGACTGATTTTCACAAACGCTTCGGCATTTTCGGCTAGTATTTCGGTTGCTATTTCGACGGCAACTAAAGCGGACTTTCGTCGAGTAAATCCGCCGACACAGAGCGGTTGTATCGTTTCGGCGCAGCCGATGCGCATTGCAAGGATAACAATGGATTAGGGCGGGAACGCTCTGTTTGCTCAGCGGTATTAATTAAAATTGGAGCTCTGAGATCTTCCGGTTTTCGAGGCATTTCTTCGCCCGGAGGAAGCGACGGCGGTCGCGCGCGCGACTCTTGGATTCACGTCGTACACAAACGTGCGCGCTCTTTCCTTTCTCTCAGTCGACACTGGCAACAAAGGATTATGGGTAGAACCATGTTATTCTTCTGCTATGCGGGTTTATTGTAGGCGAACATCTTAATTAAAATCCGGGTTATTTTCATTTTCCGTGAAACCGATGTCGCGCTTTCCCTCGCTTCGCCTTTAATATTAATTGCAATTTTGATTGCTTGCGATAAAGCTAGCGTTACTGTCTTAATAGTTTTAACGGTGCGCATTAGTTGTGACCAAAGATCAAACAAAGATGAACAAAGATCGAACATCTTGGAGATCAACGCGATTTAACAGCCACTGTCATTATTTCAAGATCCAAAGACGATGCGCGCGCGAGGAATGTCGAAATCGTGTCGCGAGACATTTTGTCTTATAGATCTCGTATCTTCACGAATTTATCTTCCCATATTTTTCATGTCTCTATTCTAAAGTGAGTTGATAAAAATGCTTCTAATTGTGAACCAGTAAAAGGAGTATTTTATCGATAATCAGGTGGTATTCACTGATTCTCGAACATTTCTCGAACTTTAATGTTCTGTCTGAAGGTAACGGTACCAATGTCCAAATATATATACTCGCCGTCGAAAAGATTGTCTGGTTTTTTTTTGTAAGTTTCGGAACCTACCTGTCTTGTCCAATAAGAGAGCTCTTTTACTGGAAAATAAATTTTCTTATTGGGTAAGACAGATAGGTTTCGAAAGTTACAAAAAAAAAAAAATCAGACAACTTTTCCGACGGCGAGTATTCCTAATCTTGGGCATTCTTATTGTTTTGGCTTTTAAATATACAAATATTTAAACAAATATTAAACTTTTAACATAGAATACATGTGCATATGCAATATATGTATATATATTTTATGTTAAAAGTTTAAATATAATATATTCATATCCAAAGACCAAAACAATAAAAATGGCCAGGATTATGCGGATATTAGTACTTTTATCCTATGTCACTGATTTCTATCAGTAGGAGGAAGATTTCACTGCAAATTTTGTAGTACAAAAATTATGTTTTATATAAAATCTAATTTTCTGCGTTTGTGGTGATGAAAGTAACGGCTTTCATGCGCCTTGCGTGTAACGACAATGCCTGTGTTTGTGCAAAGTGTATTAATAATGAGAATATTCGCTGCAATTAACTGATTCTTTCAGTGCAATTTTATTGATTGCAATGCCACCCTTCGAACTGAACCACTAGTTAGAAATATAACATTTCAGTGAAGAATACAGTGATTGTACTTTAGAGAATACACCGTCGCAATCCGTTCGAGAATATATGGCACATCTCTGTACCTCGTCCGACTACCGGCGACTAAAACTTGAAGGCCGTGCAG